GGGTGAGCCTTGGTGCAGGGGGGCTGGCTCATCCCTCCGCGGCACTGAACCCCTGAACCTCCCGCCTGTCCTCAGCACCACACCGGCCCTACCCGGGACCCCTTGGAGCCAGGTGCAGGGGGCAAGGCCAGCTGCTCACCCGCATGTTGGGGTCGCTCAGTGAGTGCCTGGCACGAGTGATGGCCTCTTCTGTGACCCGGGTATCCCCGTTGGCTTGGATCTCCAGCACAGCCATCTACGGGGCAGGGTCAGGTCAGGCATGGAGAAGAGACACAGGGTGAGCTAGCTGGGCGGCCGGAAGGCCCCTGGGCTAGTACCTCCAGTGCACACATCCCAAAGGAAAAGATGTCCACAGCAGTGCCGTCAGCAAACTCTGAAAGGGGAGAACGGATCAGGCTAGGCAGGGGAGATGCACGACAGCGGGGTCTCCAGTCTCAGCACTCACCGCCATACTCCGGCGGGAAGAAGTGCAGGTTCCGGACGTCCTCCCGCTGGGCACGGACTGGGCTTCGCAGATCACCTGGGAGCGCTGTGGACAGAGCAGACGGTGAGCAGACCAGGCAGCCCCGTGCCCGCCAGCCCCCTTGGGTCCCCACGCACCACTGGAGAAGACACGGTGCCACACTGCACAGGCCGCCACAGGGAGGAAGAATAGGCGTCAAGGTGAGGGGGCGTTGGGTGTCCTCTGCCCCTGGCTTCCGGCACCCCCTCCCCCGCCAAGCCCCCCCCCAACCCCGCCAGCACCGGAGCCAATCTTGATGAGGCCGTTGTGCTGGATGAAGATGGTGTCACTGGTCAGGTTGCCATGGATGATAGGGGGACTGCACGCATGTAGAAAGCTGCAGGAGGGAAGGAGAGTGGGTGCGGTCGGGTGGGGGGGGCACCGTAGGCATGGGGGCATGGCAGGGGCAAGCCCAGGCCCTCACCTGAGCGCGGACAGGATCTGTGTGCACCAGCGCTTCCAGGCCTGGTGGCGGATGGATTCCATCGGACCGGTGCGGAGAGGCGGCCGGGCCTGCGCTGCTCACCCACCTTGCATCCCTGCCCCGGCCCCGGCCCACTCCTGTCCCCAGAGCTGCCCCTCACCCACACCCCTGATGCAGCCCCGGCCCACTCCCCATACCCGGGCGTTCATGGCTTTGTGGTTTTTCTTGGTCTTTTTGAGGAACTGCTTGAGGCTGCCCGAGGACACGTACTCAGTGATGAAGACGACCTGCGGGGCGGGCGGGCTCCGCCAACTGCAGGTGGGTCCCTACCACCCCCCATCCCCCACCCCGGCTGCAGCCGCCCCCCACCCTGCGGCGCCCTGTGCCCGTGGCTCACCCGCGCCCGGGCTTCTGAGGCATCCAGCCAGTATTTGTGCAGCTTGACAATGTTGGGGTGGTCCACCAGCACCAGCTGCTCAAACATGGTCTGGATCTTCTCCTGGGAAGGGGGGTGTGGTCACGGGGTGGGGGGGTGGGGCCCGGTCGCTCAAGGAGTGGGCAGGCCTCACCTCATGGGCTGCGAAGGCCTTCCTATCCCCGAAGTGCAACTCATTCCACACCACCTCTACCCCCTCCTCTGTGTCCATGGCCAGGAAGGTGCTCTGGACCCCTGGCATGTTGCCCTGGTTCACCTGGCAGTGGGGATGGGGGACATGAGTGTGCTGATATGTGTCAGGAGACAGAGTGGGGGCTTGGGCTCCGCCCACATCCTTGGAGCGGACAGCAAGCATGGGAGGCTGGCCCTCAGCCCCTCCAGGGGACTGGAGGAGAGGTGGCCTCTACGAGCCAAGCAGGGGTATCTAGGGGCTGGGCTAAGGGGGTTTGGAGGTTTCAGGGCATTCAGGATGGTCTTCATGGGTCTGGTCGCAGAGGCATGGGGAGGTGGTCCTGGGAGAAGACTGAACCTTAGGGAACTGGGGGTCCCTCAGCAGGGCGTGGGGACCAGGCTAAAGGGGTCCAAGGCCCGGCCAATTAGGGGGCTGCCTGTGCAAGGCCACGGAGAGATTTCTGGCCTCCTGGATTGCCCAGCGCTCCCATCGCCACGCGTGTCCCCCTCGGCCCCTCCGCGGGAGGTGGGCGGCGACCACCCTCTCCGCTCCCCGACCCCCCCGCCCCGCGGTGCCCACCTGCTCCCGACGCTTCTGCCAGCGGCCGCACGGGCTCTCCTCCAGGATGTCGCTCTCGTCCTCGCTCTCCTCCTCCCGCTCCCGTTCCCGGCCCCGCCTCGGCGCCGGCTCTGGGGCCGCCATGGCTCAGCCGGCCCAGGCCGCCGCCCTCCGTGGGATCCGCGGCCCCACGCCGCCGCCGCCGCTCCCCGCCTGCCCTGGCCCTGCGCCCAGACGCCCAGGCGGGAGCGGAGCCGCCGGCCACCGTCTCGAGCCCCCACGCTGCTCCTGGAATTGGGAGACGCGGCGCGCGGCGGGCGGGGGGAGGAACCCGCCCGCTCCTCCCGAGCCGCAGTTTCGGGCCAAAGCCCTAATGGAGATTCCCGGCTAAGGGCCGAGCCCGCGCCGCGCCCAGCCCAGGCCCCGCCCATTCCAGCGCAAAGCCCCGCCCCGGACCCGCCCCGCGGCGGAGACCCCGCCCACCACTGCCCCGCCCGACGGCAGAGGCCCGGCCCACCCCACCTAAGGCCACGCCCCACCACGGGTCTCGCCCCGGCAGAGCCCACACTCGCGAGCTCCATCCCTTAGGAGTCCCCCCTCCCTGGCCGGAGTTCTGCCCGCACCTGACTAAGGCCCCGCCCCACAGAGTCCGTCCGGGTCGGGGTCCCGCCTATCCCACCTAGGGCCCGCGCCTGGAGGTCCTGCTGGGGGCCTACGCCCCCCAGCGCGGGCAGGAAACCTGCGCTCTCGGCTGCGGGGACAGCAGTCCCCGCCACCAGCCTGACTCCAGCGACCCGACCTCAGGGCTTTGGGTGCCCGCCTGGATCCCGGTACGTCCGGTCCTCCCGGGGCGCTCGGCCACTCGCGTGGGACCCGGTCCGGGGCTCCGGGAAACGTCCCCGCCCAGCTCTGGGAGCTGAGCGTTTCTTCTTGCATCCCTTCCGTGCCTCCCCCATCACGCTCGTGCTACACGCAGCCCGGAACCCAGCCCCAGACCGCCTATCAGTCCCCAGGCATCCCCCTCCCCCAGGGAACAGGGGGGACGGTCCTGAAGTGACAAGGAGCAGGCTGACCAGGTGATTTTAATTCATGATCACAAGCGTCCCACCACTCACACTTGTGTTCTTTCGTTTATTTGCACGTGTTTACTGTCCCACACTCCGAAAAGGCAATTTCTTCCCTTCTCTTCCCTTTCTGTTGACACAGAGGAGGCCAAAGTGGGGAGCCCCCCCTCACTGACCTGCAGCCACTTTCTCTTCAGGAGAGCCCTTGTCACACCCTCTGCCCATGTCAACAAGAGATGCGCTCTAGAATTCTTGCCTAAAATCTCCCTTTACCCCACAATCCCCACTGCCTTCCCATGGTCTCACACTCTCATACCTGCTGAGTTCCTCACCCACCCTTCATGGTCTCCTTCTAGGGGGAAAAGCGGTGCACACATGTGTCTTCTCTTTAATTCGAACCCCAGCCCTCAACTCCTACTCCATGTCTGTTCAGTGGTGTGTCAGAGACAACAGGGACACCTCCCTTACCCCCCCATGTTGCCCCAGATGACATCTCACCCCTTCTACCCCGTCCCGCTTTCATCCTCATGTGACCCGTGAGCTCATCAGGGCTGCTGCAGCCGCCTGCCCTGTGCCCCAGCTGCCACCCAGCACCAGGAGGCACGACCAGGGTGTCCCTCAGCTGCTCACAACTCTCTCTGTAGCAAAGAGGGAGACCGGGAAGGATGTGCCCCATGGCCCAATGAGACACCCTTCAATTAAGGACAGAAGTTCTAGAACCTTCCAGGGCTCACACTCTAAGACCTGCACCATTCACACAGACTATTCTAAGTGCAGCTCCCTGCTGCCCTACGTTTGTCCCATGGTTTTTAAAAAAATTGTTTACTGTCTCATCTCTACATTTAAAACATCTGAACACTCAAAAATCTGAAGACACTTTTGTGGGGGTGCCTGGGTGGCTCAGTCATTAAGCATCTGCCTTCGGTTCCAGGCATGATCCTGGGGTCCTGTGATCTAGCCCCGCTTTGGGCTCCCTGCTCAGCGGGGAGCGTGCTTCTCCCTCTCGCACTCCCCCTGCTTGTGTTCCCTCTCTCCCTGTGTCTCTCTCTGTCAAATAATAAGTAAAATCTTAAACACAAAAAACAACCTACAAGCCCAGCTAGGAGGAAAGTTGGTTTCTTAAAAAAAAAAAAAAAAAGACCTTTGTGTATAAACATGAACCTTTCTCTGTAAATTATAAAGAATAGAGGGCGAACCATGCTAGCAACACAACCCATGAGAAGACACACGCAACAAGAGACAGGTCCAAGAAAAAGCTTCAAACAGAGCACTCACGGAGCACACAGCACAGAGCACGGCCACCAAGAGGAACCCCAAGAGCCGCGGACCACTGACGGAAAGGAAATGAGTCCACAAGCAGGACACCACCTCTGAAACGTATGGGAATGCATTTAATGAACACAGGAGAACGATTGCCAAAAAAACAAAAGCAAAAGAAAAGACCTCTTAAATCTAATTAAATGAAGTTCTTTTTTTTTTTTTGAAGATTTTATTTATTTATTTGATAGACAAAGATCAAAAGTAGGCAGAGAGGCAGGCAGAGAGAGAGAGGAGGAAGCAGGCTCCCTGCTGAGCGGAGAGCCCGAGCTGCAACAAAGTTTATCAGAAAAGTTTACAATATCTACACCGAGATACACTGAGTAAAATTTCACAGGTAAACACTGCAGGCAGGTACATGTGAACAGCGAGAAGGAGACTGTGCTCCTATTACCACGGGAGGGAAAACACGAGGACACTGGAGAAACTAGAAGTGACTGCTTTGTCAACAGACATATAAAACAAGAGGGACAGATGAACCAAAAAGATTGGGAATTTTTGACATTGCAGAAATACAACACTATGGCCATAAACCACACAACACAAAGGAAAACCATCCTAACTCAACTAAGAGAGAGAAATAGCAGGCTGGTCTCTGGGTCAAGAGTAGCTCTCTGGAGAAGCTGCACATACGTGAGGTTCTCGTGCGTGTTGGGGTCGAAGAAGCCCTTGGTGTCGTCGCTCGGGTCCGCCAGGACGCGGTTCATGTCCTCGTCAAAGTAGCCGCGCCGGTAGGCCACGTCCACGGGCAGCCGGTGGCTGTGCACGGGGTCGATGATGCCGCCCGTGGCGATCTGCGCCTCCAGCAGGCGGAKGCCGTGGTCRCGGACGATGAGGTCCTTCTGCATGGCCTGGAAGAGGGAGATCTGCTCCCCCGTGTAGGGGTCGGTGTAGCCGGTGACGGCGCGCTCCGCGGACAGCAGCTTTGCGAACACGTCGGGCCCGATGAGGCCGGCCCTCAGGGCCTCCTCCACGGAGTATCTCTTGTTCTCCTTCGGGTTAAGGATGAAACCTGTGGCCGCCTGCGCCTCCAGGAGGATGAGAGCCGTGCCGTGCCTGAGAAGCCCCCTCCCGCGAGCCTCGTAGATGCTAAGGCGCTCCTGGGAGCTGGGCAGCAGCAGGCCGGCAACGCACCCGGTCCCTTCCAGGTATTTCTGCACGGGGTCCAGCCTGCCCACTTCCCGGGCTGTGGTCTGGCCTCGCTCCAGACGCTCGTACATGTCCTGCTCGATGATCCCCGCTTCTAGCAGCTCAGCGGGCATCACGGGCCCCCTCAGTCCAGCGAAGGTGGTCTTGGCCGTGGCTGCAGCATGCTCAAGGATGGCCCTCAGTGCCGCTGCCAGTTCCTCCGCCGAGATGGCGCCCTCCCGGTGCCGCTGGGCCAGGGCTGCCCTCTGCTCTGCGGGGATGGCCTCGGAGAAGAGCAGCTCCCAGAGAGACACGGGCCGGCCCTGGAACTGGCCCACGGAGATGGTGGTTGTGGCCTCACTTAAGGCCTGCCGGGTGCTGTGGTCGATGAACGGGAGTCCTTGTGGCTCCCCTCCAAGGGTGCCATTTGAGAGCGGAAGGAAGGCCAGCCCTGTCTCTGGGTCGGTGACACAACGGGCCATCAGCTGCCCATAGCCAAGGCTCTCCTGCGTGCTGGGGTCCAAGAAGCCAGTGGCCCGTGAGACACACCGCCGTGTTTCTTCGTCCAGGCATCCGAAGCGTAGGGCGCCCTCCAGGGGCAACCGGAGCCTGCGGGCTGGACACACGAGCCCCCCGGTGGCCAGCTGGGCATCCAGGAGTCGCAGCGCCAGGGACCTGTCCACCAGCTCCTTTTTCATGGCCTGGAAGAGGGTGACCCGCATGCTGCTGAAGGGGTCGTGGTAGCCTGTCACCGCCTGCTCTGCCACCAGAAGCTGCCCATGGAGCTCTGGGCCGAGCAGGCCAGACCTGACAGCCTCATCCACCCACAGCTGCTGGCCGGTGCCTGGGTCCACCAGCGCGCAGGTGGCGGCCTGAGCCTCCAAGAGCGGGAGCGCCATGGCCATTGGGAGCAGGTGCTCGGTGACAGCCTGGAAGAAGCTCTTCTTGCGGCCAACGGGCAGCAGGACAACCCCGGCCACGCTGCCCGTGCCCTGCAGGTAGCGCCTCACGGCAGCCCGGGCACTCACATCCGACACTGACAGCTTGCCCTCCTGAAGGCCCCGGGCGGTCTCCCCATCCAGGATGCCCACCTCCTGCAGCTCTGCCAAGCTCACTGCCCCACACAGGGTGTGGAACGTGGTTTTGAGGGGCAAGACGGCCAGCCCAGTGCCGGGGGCTCTCACACACCTGCCCAGCAGACTGCCGTAGGACAGCCACTCTCCTGTGTTGGGGTCCTGGAAGCCAGGGGTGCTGGAACTCGGCTTGCCCTCTGCCAGAACACGCCATGTCTCCTGGTCCAGGAGGCCCTGCTGACAGGCCAGCTCCGGGGTCACTCGCCCACCCCGAATGGGGTCCACCAGGCCCCCGGTGGCCAGCTGGGCCTCCAACCAGCTGTACCCCTGTGCTCGCCCTATCACCTCCTTCCCGATGGCCTGGAAGAGGGCCAGCTTCCCGCCACCATAGGGATCGGGATACCCAGTGACTGCCCGCTCAGCAGCCAGCAGCCTTTCCTTCAGCCCCAGGCCTACCAGGCCCTGCTGCACGGCCTCAGACACAGAGAGTAAGTGGCCCCGCGTGGGGTCCACGAGGCCCCCGGTGGCGGCCTGGGCCTCCAGCAGAGCCAGCCCAAGCTCACTGGACAGGAGGCCCTGCTTCATGGCAGCGTAGAGACTCTGGGCCTGGCTGGAGGCCTCCACGTATACCCCAGTGATGCTTTTGGCCTGGGGCCCGGAGGAGGTGCTGGCTCCCAACACAGCAATCATGGTCTCAGGGACGACGGTCAGCTCGGTGCCATTGGTGGCCAGGACATCAAGAGGAGGGGAGCTGTGGCCGTTCATTGTGCTTGGCCCTGCTGTGCAGAATCCACTCACCCAAGGTCCACTGTGTCTGCTCCCTGCAGGGGGGCACAGAAAGGCTCCATTAGGGGCCCTGGGATGGCCCAGGCAGGCAGGAGGGGAACAGTCAGGGGTCCACCCCAAACCCTTAATCAGCTTCCAGACATGGCTGGCCCTCCTGGCCATGTGAGGTCCTTTGTCTCACCCTGTGCGATCCCAGGAGGGACCAAGAGGGACCTCAGGCCAATCAGGCAGCTGCCAGCATGTGTGGGCTCTTCTCCTGTGGGCCTCTGTCCCTGCCCAACACCTTCCAGCACCCTCCCCAGGGTCCTGGTGTGGGCCGGGCCAGAGGGGCCTGCATGCTCTGGGCGGAGTCAGCCCTGAGCCCCTGGGGTGTGGCCCCTCCCACCTTCACCTTCCACCTCTAATTCGCACCTTCCAGCCTCCCAGGCCTCCCCCCTGCTCCCAAGAGCTCTTTCCCCCTCCTGCCACCCCCTGGGTTCAGGGACACCAGTACCCTTCCCCCTTCCAGTCACCACCTCCACCCCCCCACTCCATCCTGGACCCTCAGCTCTGGCCTCTGTTCCTTTCCCAGACCCCCACTGGGCTCCAGCTAGAACCCCCAGAGTCTCCTGCCTCAGCCTGACTTGGTGCCCTCCCAGCCCCCCAACCCCTGTGCTCTCTGGGATACGGCCTCCCTGTGCCCAGACACGGCCTCGGAGGCCCGAGAGAGCAAAGACTTGGTGCCCGAGGGCCAGTCTAGCAGGAACTGTGGGGATGGCCAGGCCCTGGGCCCTGGTCGGTGGCTCAGAGCCCCAGCAGCCCCACGGCTGTGCCCCGATTGTCGGAGCTGTGGTACCAAGTGCCTTACCTCCCCTCCCCCATCGCACCTGCGCACGAGCCTGCGTCACCTCCACCCATCCCTGTCCTGTGGGGTTCAATCATGTTCCCCCAAAAGACCTGTCCAAGTCCTAACCTCCAGGACCTAGCTTTATTTGGAAATAGGGTCTTTGCAGCTGGAACTCAGCTGAGGCCCCAGAGCAGGGAGGCCCCTAATCCCTGGCCTGCTTTCTGCACAGGAAGACCGAGGCGGAGATCTCCCACAAGGGGCCCAGAGGCACAGAGGACCAGGTCCCAGGGCAGAAGCGGACTCCAGCCCCGGCTCCAGGAACCATGAGAGGGGTGTCTGCTGCTCTAAGCCGCCCAGGCTATGGCAATGGCTGCGACAGCTCGGGGGAGCCACGGCCTCCTGCCCGCCATGCCCCACCCCGTGAACCGGCCCACACCCAGTTTCCTCAGAAGCACGCTTCATTCCGCCCCAGTGCCGGCCGACCACACCTGTCCTGGCAACCCAGCCAGCTCGCGCCCCTCCCCCACGCCCGCCGCGGGACAAGGCTCAGGACGCCTGTGCAGCTCTCCCCGGGGCCACCTTGGGCTCTGGCTGCCAGACCCAAGAAATGCATTTTGGAACAGACGGCCCCGCCTCCGGCCACAGCTCTGCGGCCTTCTCGCCGGTGACAGGGTCTGCTCCAAACCAGGGAGCCCCTCACACTGCCCTCCATCCCCCCAGCCCGACCTGGAGTCCCAGAACCACGTGCCCGGCTGCCTCCTGGACGCCTGCGCCCAGACCCTGAGGCTCTGCGGCAACCCCGCGACTCCGCGATGGCCCGTGCTCTGTAGAGGGTCCTCCCTCACGCAGTCTGTCCAGCCCGAGCCCTGAATCCCCTCACACCTTCTCCTGCCCCTGCTGGTCCCACCAGGGGTCCTCACCCGGCCAGCCCATCTCACGTCCCCGCCTACGGCCTCCAGGCACCCCTTAGCCTCCAGGCACCCCTTAGCCTCCAGGCTTGCAAGGACCACCTTCCCTGTTCCCGCCCTCTCCACCACCTCCAGCCCTGGAGCAGGGCAGGGTCAGCAAGTGATAGAGGGGCTGGGCAGCTGGGACCTCCATGGGAAGATCTCCATGCTGGGGCTGGACAGGGGGCAGCATGGCTGAGCTGGGTGCCGAGCTGCCACGGTCACCCGGAATCAACCAGGGCTTCGGTGACACAGATCTAGTACGGTGAACGCTTCCAGTGCTGCCCAACCCCACCTGGGACTGAAGGAGGGCCCCAGGCGGACGGCCCCTGCTTCTGCCCCCTCGGGAATTGCGTTGCCCTTCCTAGTCCCTCAACTTGGCTTGGGACCCTGCTGCGAGCCCCCGGGGTATGGATAGAGTCCTGCCCCCTTCCCTTCCCACACACAGATGTGGGGCCTGAGCCTTCTGGACCCCAGCAGCTCTGTGCTGCACAGCCGGGGGGGGGGGCGCAGAACGAGACAGACACCGAGCGGGACTTTGTGGGGGGAGCTGCGACCTGGCTGGCCATGGGAGCTGGGCTCCGGGAAGGGCCTCGAGCCACCCGCCTTCCCACCCAAGTGGAGCGTAGCACCAGGCATCAGGCATTTGAGACATGGAGGCTAGCCCAGAGCACCCAGTGGTGGGTGGTGTCTGCTAAGCTTCGGGAGATCACAATGGCTGAGCGGCCAGCTGGGTGTCTAAAGCCATGTGGGTCCCAGTGGGGCTTCACAGTGACCATGACAGTGACCGTGAAGACTGCCGTGGGGGCAGGCTGGGCAGCACCGTCCTGAGAGCTGGAGCCCCAGCCCCCAGGTGCCCCCAGCCCCCGGGGGGGGTGTACTACCTAAAATGTGAGGCACCTGTCCCCGCAGATGGACCACGTGGGTCCAGGAGCAAAGCGACGGAAGCAGGCGCGGCCCCCCACCATCCCTCCAACAGCCCCACCCTCTGTCCCTGTGGCTCTGGGGTCCATCCCAGAGGATGACGGCTTCTGCCTGGGACAGTCCCACTGCGCTGACGGCCAAGGCTGCTCCCAGGATGTTCTGGCTCCTCGTGTCCAGGACCAAGAAGCCTGAAGAAGAGCGAGCCGACCGCCAGGAGAAGGGGGGGTCTGGGACAGGGTGGAGGCAGGGGTGGGCCCCAGAGGCCCACGCCGGGTTCTGGTAGCTAACAGACAGTGTTCCCACCTGAGGGGCGCGCCAAGCCCAGCAGACAGGCGGTGGGGGTGGGTGGGGGAACGAGGAGCGGAGAGGAGACCCTTAGTTCGTGGGTTTCCTGGGACGAGAAGCCCGTCAGCACCCTGGGACCTGGTGGTGGGTGAGGGCCACCCTGACCACCTGGCCCCAGTGCAACTCCATTACAGGCAGGCTGGCTCCCCCCTCCACCATCCTCCCTCTACAGGAACCGTCCTGAGACCACCTAATGGTCCTGCCGGCAGACTCTGCTCCTGGCACCCCACCCGGACACATGCTTTGTGGCCCAGCTGCACCGAGGATGGGCGTGTTTGTAAAATGTGCCTGTTCCCAGGTCCCAGGACTGCCTTCAGAGGGGGTGTGAGCCCAGGGAGCCATGCGTGGCCCACACCCAGCCCTGCCCCAGTCCCAGCAGGGGTGCCAGGGAACAAGGCTATGGGGTAGGGAAGACAGTGTGCCTTTTGCCAGGCAGAAGAGGGAGGGAAGCGTGTTCTGGGCCACGTGGGGGCGGGAGCAGCTAAGCGATCAGGGCTGTGGGTGGCCCTTGGCCTGGACGTGGGCAGCCAGCCCGGAGCCAGACAGGCTGTGCTGGGGGGCAGGCAGTGCCAGGCAGGCACTAGACAAGAAAACTAGAGCCAGTACATGCTCTGGGAACAGGAGGCTCCCATTTCCTGCACAGAGGGCATTCTTGGCTGGAGGGAGGGGTCTGAGTGTCGGAGGGAGCAGGAGAGCAGGATGTGAGGGCCCAGAGAGGCCCTGTGCCTATGACAGCTGGGCCACGCCCTCCTCCCCCCTTTGGCTGGCAGTGACCTTGAACCTGGTCTGAGTCTCCCTGGACCCTGCCCAGGTGGGACCCGAAGAGGACTCCAGGAGTGGGTACCTGAGTCTGCAGTGGGGACCTTGGGAAGGCAGCTGGACAGAGGGGTCTAGAGCTTGGGAGAGACAGACCAGGGCATATGACTGGTGTCCAGGGCCTGGGGAGTGGGAGAGGGAGAGCTTTCAAGAGTGGGAGGCCCAGGCCAGCCCAATGTCACAAAAGCCAAGCTGAAAGATGGGTGTCCCAGAGAGGGGGCCACCAGCCTATGGGGGCTGGCCTTGGGGCTACTGGCCTTGGGGCTGGGGGAGAGAGGCTGAGCGGATTTTCCAGGAAGGAAAAAGGAATCTGAGGCGGGGGGGGGGGGGGGGGGTGTCTCTTCCTGTGGCATCCTTGAGTGGCCCCAGCTCAGGTGGGCCCCAGGCAACAGGGGGAGGAAGACAATTCCTGAGCAGGGTGAGTCTGCATTCCCTGGGCATGGGCCATCAACTGTCACCACTGTTGAAGGTCAGCCCCCAACCCCCAGCCTGGGATGGGAGCGGGGCAGCGGGCGGGCTGGCAGGCCACCTGAGCCATATGGCGACAGAAGCAGGAGGCCAGGCTGCCTCAGGCCTGCAGAGAGAGGCGGCAATCCCGGCCTTTGCCCGACTGCCGACACCTGCAGGAAGGTCCCACCCACCTCTACGGGGCAAAGACCAACGGCCACAGAAGTCGGCATGACAGGAGGGTACAGGGAAGACAGAGCCCCTGCAGACCCTGCCTCCCAAGGACCTTGAGATGACCCGGCGCAGGCGTCCCTGTGCCCACCCATCCCCCGACCCCACAGCAGGTAGCTCCCCCAGCTGGCCAGCACCGCCCCTCCCTGCCCCGCCGGCCAGGAGCAGCACCGCCCCTCTCTCCTGCCCCTACTGTCCGCACCCCCTCACTTCGCCCCGCCCTACAAGGTGCCCCCACCCCGCCCCCCAGGAACCCGACCTGCGGACCCGCCGGAGCCGCCCACCAGCCCTGCGGCGGGTGCGGGGGAAGCGCGGGGTCGGGGAGGATCCCCGCGGGCGGCGTCTCCCATGTCGGGGCTGGTCACCAGGACCCCTGCCCAGCAGGGCCGGAGGGAGGCCAGCGGCCCGGGTCGGGGAACAGCCGAGCCCAGAGCTCCGGCCGC